TTGTCTTGTCTGTTTTAACTTAGTTTATTCCTTCTCTGCTCTGCCTTTACCTCACACACCTTGGGAGTGGGGTTCCATCTTGCTGAGGTAGTCCATTGTCATCCATGCTTCACGCCAACACTAACAGCCTCCCTCCCATCTTTGGACAAAGTTATTACTTAAAACCCATATTTATGTCGCTTTCGACTGCAGCGTCAAAATTCCGGTTCTTTAGTTAAATTGAAAGCACCGAAATTTTGAAGTTTGCCCAGACTCATAAGGCTGGGACTTGATAGCTTGGGTGGTTGGGCAAGGTTGGTGGCCTGCTGCTGAGGGGCTACCTACCTTGAGGTGCTTCCGGGCCTTAGTGTTCCCGCGGCCCGGTCGTCGACCAGGCCTCCTGGTTGCTGGACTGATCAACCAGGCTGTTAGACGCGGCTGCTCGCAGCCTGACGTATGAGTCACAGCCTGGTTGATCAGGTATCCTTTGGAGGTGCTTATCCAGTTCTCTCTTGAACACTGTGAGGGGTCGGCCAGTTATGACCCTTATGTGTAGTGGAAGCGTGTTGAACAGTCTCGGGCCTCTGATGTTGATAGTTCTCTCTCAGAGTACCTGTTGCACCTCTGCTTTTCAACGGGGGTATTCTGCACATCCTGCCATGTCTTCTGGTCTCATGTGATGTTATTTCTGTGTGCAGGTTTGGGACCAGCCCCTCAATTATTTTCCACGTGTAAATTATTATGTATCTCTCCCGCCTGCGCTCAAGGGAGTACAGATTTAGGCTCTTTAGTCGGTCCCAGTAATTTAGATGTTTTACTGAGTGGATTCTAGCAGTAAAGGATCTCTGCACGCTCGGGGAGGCTACTTCATATTTTATACTTATCAAATCGATGGGAAATTGATCGAAGCCTAGAAATATGCTTCAAATGTGTTATTTTGCGGAAGATCAGAATGAGTACCGTACTGCTCAGTACTCACTTCCCCTTCAGAGCAGGAGAGATTACTGAAATAGAGGGAATACAGAGAACATATACGGCACGCATAGACGAGATAAAACACATAAATTATTGGGATCGTCTCAAAGCCCTCCAAATGCTTTCTTGAAAGAAGACGAGAGAGGGTATCAAATCACATACACATAGAAAATACTGAAGTGTCAGGTCCCAAATCTACACAGTAAAATAACAACGTACTGGAGTGAACGATATGGAAGAAAATGCAGAATTGAACCAGTGAAGAGCACGGGTGCCATAGGCACAATCAGAGAACATTGTATAAACATCAGAGGTCCGCGGTTCTTCAACGTCCTCCCAGCAAGTATAAGAAATGTTGCCGGAACAAAAGTAGAAATCTTCAAGAAAAACTGGACCGTTTTCTGCAAGAAGTGCCGGACCAACCAGGCTGTAGTGGATGTATGCCTGCGGGCCGCTCCAAGCAACAAACTGTTGAACCAAGTTATCACAAGTCAAGCCTGGCCCCAGACCGGGCTTGGGGAGTAGAACTACTCCCAGAACCTCATCATCCAGGTACAACACCAATATAACAACAGTTATAGAAGACATTGCAAGAGAGGACAATAACAAAGGTCGAGAAGGCACGAATATCTCGACATGCAACAATTAAATAGATCAAGTGATTGAAGATAAATTACTAAAGCTAAAGCTCTCATATTTAACTAAAAAAATAGGATCAAATAAGGTAACCTCAATTGTGGCTTTCTATAAGTTGAATCTGGATCAATGTCCCTTTGACCTGATCTGATTAACCAGACTGTTGGATACTGCTGCTCGCAGCCTGAAGTATAAATGGAAGCAGCCCGTGACAGCTGACTAACACCCAGGTACCTATTTACTGCTAGGTAACAGGGGCATTCAGGGTGAAAGAAACTTTGCCCATTTGTTTCTGCTTCGTGCGGGAATCGAACCCGCGCCACAGAATTACGAGTCCTGCGCGCTATCCACCAGGCTACGAGGCCCCCTACGAGGCCCTTTCTTATGCGAAAGCTCGGCCACTTATGCCCCTTATGTGTAGTGGAAGCGTGTTGAAAGGGGTCGTTAATGTTGATAGTTCTCTCATTCAATTTCTTTCTATATTATGCGCCCCATACCCATCCCGTGGGCGATGGTGTAAAGGATTACAGAGGCACATAATCAACGTACCTATTGCACCTCAGCTTTTCAAAGGGGGTATTTTGAACATCTTGCAACGCCTCCTGGTCTTGTGTGATGTTTCCTTAAGCAGTTTTATAACCATTCCCTCTAATGAACAAATCCACAAGGGCCGTGACGAGGATTCGAACCAACGTCCGAGATGACAGTCCAGCAACCTGCCTGCTGGACGCTACTGCTCGCAGTCTGACGATGATATTTGAATATGATGTGTCTGAGTATATTTGTAGATGATATATGAATATGATATGAGTATCATATTTGTAGATGACACAAAAATCCGCATGAAAATTACCTCATTGCTGAAAGACAAAATACAAGCACATATTAATGTAGTTTTAGACTGGGCAGCAGAAAATAACATGTTTAACAGTGATTCTGATTCTTGGAACTCCATATTCATCAAGAACTGTAAAAAAAAAAAAACTGTCAATAGCCACCTTTCCTGGGATCGTATCCGGGCCGGGGAGGATTGACTAGGCGCCAATCCTTAAATGAATGCCTCTGTCCACACATCAATGAATGGTACCTGGTGGTTAAACGATTTGGCGAGTCGTACTCCAGGGAAAATTAAGTTTAAGGACCTGTCCTAAACTCTGCGTGCTGCTGGTGGCTTGACAAGAAGGTAAGCTTTGTTGTTTATGTGAATAAAATAAATAAATAATAATTGCCCTGGAGAGAACATGTGTGTAAAAAGCAACTAGTACAAGCCGCCGCCACCAGCTACCTGGCTCAGAGGTTGTGGGGGCACCGGAGGTTGTGGGGGCACCGGAGGTTGTGGGGGCACCGGAGGTTGTGGGGGCACCGGAGGTTGTGGGGGCACCGGAGGTGGTGGGGGCACCGGAGGTTGTGGGGGCACCGGAGGTTGTGGGGGCACCGGAGGTTGTGGGGGCACCGGAGGTTGTGGGGGCACCGGAGGTTGTGGGGGCACCGGAGGTTGTGGGGGCACCGGAGGTTGTGGGGGCACCGGAGGTTGTGGGGGCACCGGAGGTTGTGGGGGCACCGGAGGTTGTGGGGGCACGGAGGTTGTGGGGGCACCGGAGGTTGTGGGGGCACCGGAGGTTGTGGGGGCACCGGAGGTTGTGGGGGCACCGGAGGTTGTGGGGGCACCGGAGGTTGTGGGGGCACCGGAGGTTGTGGGGGCACCGGAGGTTGTGGGGGCACCGGAGGTTGTGGGGGCACCGGAGGTTGTGGGGGCACCGGAGGTTGTGGGGGCACCGGAGGTTGTGGGGGCACCGGAGGTTGTGGGGGCACCGGAGGTTGTGGGGGCACCGGAGGTTGTGGGGGCACCGGAGGTTGTGGGGGCACCGGAGGTTGTGGGGGGCACCGGAGGTTGTGGGGGCACGGAGGTTGTGGGGGCACCGGAGGTTGTGGGGGCACCGGAGGTTGTGGGGGCACCGGAGGTTGTGGGGGGCACCGGAGGTTGTGGGGGCACGGAGGTTGTGGGGGCACCGGAGGTTGTGGGGGCACCGGAGGTTGTGGGGGCACCGGAGGTTGTGGGGGCACCGGAGGTTGTGGGGGCACCGGAGGTTGTGGGGGCACGGAGGTTGTGGGGGCACCGGAGGTTGTGGGGGCACCGGAGGTTGTGGGGGCACCGGAGGTTGTGGGGGCACCGGAGGTTGTGGGGGCACCTGAGGTTGTGGGGGGCACCTGAGGTTGTGGGGGCACCGGAGGTTGTGGGGGCACCGGAGGTTGTGGGGGCACCGGAGGTTGTGGGGGCACCGGAGGTTGTGGGGGCACGGAGGTTGTGGGGGCACCGGAGGTTGTGGGGGCACCGGAGGTTGTGGGGGCACCGGAGGTTGTGGGGGCACCGGAGGTTGTGGGGGCACCGGAGGTTGTGGGGGCACCTGAGGTTGTGGGGGCACCGGAGGTTGTGGGGGCACCGGAGGTTGTGGGGGCACCTAAAGGTTGTGGGGGGCACCGGAGGTTGTGGGGGCACCGGAGGGCGTGGAGCACCAAGTTGGTGTTAAGAGACTCTGGCCCCAGGGATGGTTCGCCTTGTAATGCCTCCTGCGCTCTCCCTGTTGGCTCTCCCCCTCCCTTTGTTGGCTCCCCCTCCTCTCCCTCCCTGTTGGCTCTCCCCCTCCCTTTGTTGGCTCCCCCTCCTCTCCCTCCCTGTTGGCTCTGGCTCTCTCACACCACCTACGGCTACTGATCCATACGTATTGAAAAACACAACACAAATCCCCCCCCACCCTCGCATGGTGTATCTTCCCCTACTGAACCTCCCCCACCCTCGGGGGTCCCAGGAACCCTAGGGGTCCAGGGGTCCCTCCCCCAGCATCAGCACCTAGGGGTCACCATCTGCTGGGACATCTGGGACATCGCATGGTGTATCTTCTCATATTTCAGGCAGGATTCGCATGCATAAATCTAACAACTGGGTTTTCAGATATCGAATATCAATCTTATTTACATATGATCCGGTGTGGCGGGTGTGGCAAGTGTGGCGGGGATGGCAGGTGTGGTGGGTGTGGCAGGTGTGGCGTAGGTCTTGGTACCGCCCTCTCATGTTTATCTTATGTCTCGCGTTCTGTCGTCTCTGAGGTTGTCAGGTGGTGGTGTCTGTGTGGCTCACTAGACACCACACCCCTGGACTCCTAGTGTAACGGGGGGTGGGGGGAAATTGCTCTATCTTGTTCATTATTCCACCCCCCAGTTAACTAACGAGGCCGGGGGAAACAGCTCTCTCTAGTCCGTTATCCCGTCCCCAGTTAGCTAACTATTCTAGAGCACTCCCAGAGTTCCTAAGGCAACCTCTCTCGTTCAACAGCTTGTAACCTAGGTATTTGACTACCTAGGTGCTAAGACTACAAGGCGCCGTAACTTGACCAGCTACCCGAAACTCTAGAGAGAACTCTAGAATACATTTCACTGCCACAAGCGTATAAGAGACACGAAAGGAAAGAGAAGACTAGTGGAGTAATTAGTGAGGGTTTGGGTGAGAGAGGTAGAGAGGTGGGAGGAGCGAGGAGGGTCATTAGTTGAAAGGGAAAGTTCGGAGAGGGGTGGAGGGAGAGGAATAGATAGGTAGAGATAGAAGAGTAGATAGTAGAAGTAGAAGAGTAGATAGTAGAAGACGAAATGCTGCCACCATCCATTCAAGACCATTACATACAAGACAAGGAATGGAACTTGTCTGTATCAAAATATTCTCAAAAGATGATATTACCATGTATCAACTAGAAAACATGTACTCCTTAACTCATGAAACCAGTAATCACAGAGGCTTTCTCACCTCAACCCAAAACTCTAGGGAACAAAGTGAAAGACCATTTAAATAATAAATTCAACAATTATATTTTTCATGATAAGTATCATAACTTAAGCAATCCAATTAAAATGTTAAAGATTAATATTCAAAGTGAGCCATCAGCCAAGAATTTGAGAACCCTACAACTGACTGCCCCTGATCATCACACAACATATGTAAACACGACCAAGTCACCTTAATGCTCAACTCACCAAGTGTCTGCCTATAGCTGGATTGAGGGGGGGGGAGGGAGTCTGTAGTTGACAGAGACTGTCCCGCCCTGCCGGCCGACAGCCTCCCTGCTAGGCCGTCTTCTCTCCTCTGCTGGCTGCTGTTCTTCTTCCTCGTTAATGCTCTCGAATCGATAGCTCTCCGAGTATATATTGGGGAACCTAGTAACTAACTCCGCCCACAAGTAGATAGCCACAGGCACTCTACCAAGCCACTCCTTAAACGTCGGCATGTTTGAAGGCTACCAGGCTCCAATTATAAGATTAGTAGAAGTAAGGTGAAATTCGCATGATCTGACCTCAGGTCACTTGGGGTCATTAACTCTTAGAGGTGTGAATTTCAAGCCGACAAACTGGCGCCTTCTCAAATTCCTGTCTGTGACTAATGTATCTCTATGTATTTTAAATACAATTAAACCAAACACCTTACAGTGTTACACTAGTGTTGCTGGGACCCCTGGACCCCCTAGTGTTGCTGGGACCCCTGGACCCCTAGTGTTGCTGGGATCCCTGGACCCCTAGTGTTGCTGGGACCCCTGGACCCCTAGTGTTGCTGGGACCCCTAGTGTTGCTGGGACCCCTGGACCCCTAGTGTTGCTGGGACCCCTGGACCCCTAGTGTTGCTGGGACCCCTGGACCCCTAGTGTTGCTGGGACCCCTGGACCCCTAGTGTTGCTGGGACCCCTGGACCCCTAGTGTTGCTGGGACCCCTGGACCCCTAGTGTTGCTGGGACACCTGGACCCCTAGTGTTGCTGGGACCCCTGGACCCCTAGTGTTGCTGGGACCCCTAGTGTTGATGGGACCCCTGTACCCCCCTAGGCGTTCCTGGGATCCCTGTACCCCCTAGGGGTTCCTGGGGACCCCTAGACCCCTCCTAGGGGATCCTGGAGATCCCTGGACCCCTCCTAGGGATCCCTGGACCCCTCCTAGGGGGATCCTAGGGATCCCTGGACCCCTCCTAGGGGGATCCTAGGGATCCTGGACCCCTCCTAGGGGGATCCGGGGGACCCCTCCTAGGGGGATCCTGGGGACCCTCCTAGGGGGATCCTGGGGACCCTCCTAGGGGGATCCTGGGGACCCCTCCTAGGGGGATCCTGGGGACCCTCCTAGGGGGATCCTGGGGACCCCTCCTAGGGGGATCCTGGGGACCCCTCCTAGGGGGATCCTGGGGACCCCTCCTAGGGGGATCCTGGGGACCCCTCCTAGGGGGATCCTGGGGACCCCTCCTAGGGGGATCCTGGGGACCCTCCTAGGGGGATCCTGGGGGACCCCTCCTAGGGGGATCCTGGGGACCCCTCCTAGGGGGATCCTGGGGACCCCTCCTAGGGGGATCCTGGGGACCCCTCCTAGGGGATCCTGGGGATCCCTGGACCCCTCCTAGGGGACCCTGGGGACCTCTGGACCCCAGGAACTCTATTTCAGCAATCTCTCCTGCTCTGAAGGGGGAAGCGAGTACTGAGCAGTACTCGAGACGGGACAACACAAGTGACTTGAAGAGTACAACCATTGTGATGGGATCCCTGGATTTGAAAGTTCTCGTAATCCATCCTATCATTTTCCTGGCTGACGCAATACTTGCTTGGTTATGCTCCCTAAACGTTAGATCGTCGGACATCATTATTCCCAAAATCCTTGACATGCTGTTTTCCTACTATGGGCAGATACGATGGCGTTTTGTACCCTGTATTATGTTTAAGGTCCTCATTTTTACAGTACCTGAGTACCCGGAATTTATCACTGTTAAACATCATGTTATTTTCTGCTGCCCAGTCGAAAACTTTATTAATATCTGATTGTAGTTTTTCAGTGTCCTAAGCAGAGGTAATTTTCATGCTGATTTTTGTCATCTGCAACGAAAGACACGAAACTGTGACTTTTACTTTTGTCTATATCTGATATGAGAATAAGGAAAAGCAGTGGTGCAAGGACTGTACCTTGAGGTACAGTGCTTTTTAACTGCGCTCGGACTCGATTTTATTTGATTTACTGCTACTGTGTTGTGTTCGACAGGAAATTGAGTATTCAGCGTCTTACTTTACCAGTTACTACTATTGACCTCATTTTGTGTGCTATCACTCCATGGTCACATTTGTCGAATGCCTTTGTAAAGTTTGTTTATACAAAATCTGCATTTTGTCGTAGTACCCACCTAGTTGTACTAGTTTGCTTGCGGGAGTTGAGCTCTTGCTCTTTGGTCCCGCCTCTCAACTGTCAATCAACAGGTGTACAGATTCCTGAGCCTACTGGGCTCTATCATATCTACACTTGAAACTGTGTATGGAGTCAGCCTCCACCACATCAGGTACCTAGTCCTCCCCCCCCCCTCACCACCAACCCCTCCCTAGTCCTCCCCCCTCACCCACCAACCCCTCCCTAGTCCTCCCCCCTCACCACCAACCCCTCCCTAGTCCTCCCCCTCACCACAAACCCTCCCTAGTCCTCCCCCCCTCAACCACCAACCCCTCCCTAGTCCTCCCCCCTCACCCACCAACCACTCCTTGTCCTCACACCCCTCACCCACCAACCCCTCCTAGTCCTCCCCCCTCACACCACCAACCCTCCCTAGTCTCCCCCCTCACCCACCAACCCCTCCCCCCCTCACCCACCAAACCCCTCCCCCCCCTCCCCCCCCCACCAACCACCAACCCCTCCTAGTCCTCCCCCGGCCTCTCTGGCAGTAAATAATTCTGGGGAGTCACCGCCGTCATGTTGAGGAAGATAAAGCTGATAAGCCAAGAGGGACGCTGGCCACCTGTACAGGGTCTCGGGAGTTCCAGTCCCCGAGCCCGGCCCGTCGACTTGTCATAACTTGGTCCAACAGGCTGTTGCTTGGAGCGGCCAGCACGCCCACATACCCACTGCAACACTGTTGGTAGGGCACTTCTTGCAAGAACTTACCCAAGTTCTTTTCTAATATATCCACCTTTGTTCCGGCAATATTTCTTGTACTCGCTGGGAGGGTGTTGAACAACCGCGGACCTCTGATGTTTATACAGTGCTCTCTGATTGTGCCTATGGTACCTCTGCTATTCACTGGTTCTTTTCTGTACTTCTTCCATATCGTTCACTCCAGAATGTTGTTGTTTTACTGTGTAGATTTGGGACCTGTCCCTCCAGTATTTTTTGTGTGTGTATTATTTGAAATCTCTCTCGTCTCCTTTTTAGTGAGTACATTTGGAGAGCTTTGAGACGATCCCAATAATTTAGGTGCTTTATCGCGGAATGCCGTATATGTTCTCTGTATTCCCTCTATTTCAGCAATCTCTCCTGCTCTGAAGGGGGAAGTGAGTACTGAGCAGTACTCGAGACAGGACAACACAAGTGACTTGAAGAGTACAACCATTGTGATGGGATCTCTGGATTTGAAATTTTTCGTAATCCATCCTTAAATTTTTCTGGCTGAAGCAATATTTGCTT